TCTTTGGTCACTGGCCTCCCCAGTGCAGTAATTAGCATTTTTTCATTTATAGAAACATTTGATACACTTCAAAGTAATTGAGATAACAGTCTGTGAATAGCTTTGAAGGAAGCATGGCATGCTCAGAACAGGAAGACATTAAATCATTTTAACTTCAGCGGTGAGGAAGACTCAGGTAACATCTTACTCTTTGCACACATCACTAAGTTGGGGACACACAGAAGCAGGTGGTGGTGGTGGGGGGGGCAAGATGAGGATCACAGCAGAAAAATAAATATGAACTATTGTGGCTATAGAGAAGTAACCTTAATTTTAAACTAGAATTGGGAATGACTTGGAGATTCACAGGTGCAGCTGATGGTTGGTGACAGATCCGGAGTTTGTACCATGGCTTGGTTCAGGATAGGATGAAGATGAAGGTTAAGCTGTTAACCATACCAGGGAACCTTTAGGAAAATTTGTTAGCATTGAAAATGAGGACAAATATGCTTATCATCTTTCTAACAAGCTTGTCGTCTGCTTTACTTTTCTTTAGAGGAGAGCTAAGACATAAAGAAGAGGAAGTTCATTAGATACTAGCGACAAATACACTTAAAAAAAATAAAACTCCATTTTTATGGAATCAAGGAGGAAAAAGAATGCCTGAAAACTTTCCTGGAAAAAAAACATTTAGGAACCTAACTTGCCCTAAAGTGAAATAATGTGGTATCAGTTAGAGTTAGGTGATGAAAAAATGGAGAAAAAAGTGGGAAATTAGATGTGCAATGTTTAACAGCCAGGAGTCAATCTTCTGGTTCTTGTTTGTGTTTTTAAAACATTTATTATAATTTTTTCTAGGTCAATTCAACGAGAGGTTTGGTGGTGAAATGGGGTGAATAGGCAAAAGGGACAAAGGGATAAAAGATGGATCCTATGAAGAAAATCTAAGGGGATTAAAACTGGAGGGCACAGAGGAATGACCTTTATTTGATTTTATCAAGTTTAAGGATATTAAACTCAATAAATATCTGAGAGAGTTGCTGGCAACTTCTTTGTGCCCACAGAGGATGAATTAGGTTGGACATTGGCTTCATCAAAAGGATGAAAGATTTTCTTTTTGCAAAGGAGATTCTTTTGATTATGAAGTTAATAAAAAGCAGGACACCCAGGAAATAAAATGAATTTTATTTTATTTTTTTTTAAAAGAGAGAGTGAGAGAGAATTTTTAATATTTATTTTTTAGTTCTCGGCAGACACAACATCTTTGTTGGTATGTGGTGCTGAGGATCGAACCCGGGTCGCACGCATGCCAGGCGAGCGCGCTACCGCCTGAGCCACATCCCCAGCCCATAAGATGAATTTTAAAACTTGGTTAACTGGGGGAAGAACTGACATGTCCTGGATGGAAAAACATAAGAAAGGAACTGATTCAGAATATATTTTTAGTTTTCTTTTAGCTTAATGATTTTATTAATTAGAGATAATGAATAGCTCTTTTCCCCCCTGAAAATTTAAAATGTAAAGTTATAATGAAGCAAATCTAAAATATAGCCTAATTCCATTCAAATGAAGACAGAACTAGAAATCTCAGAGCAGAATATCTATCCCCTGCTGGCAATGATCTTAGGAGGGGATGCGCTCTTTTCCACGAGGGTGCAGGATGCCTTAAAGTGATCAAGTGCCCAGCATCTCCCTCTGGAAGCCATTCAGAGACTGATGCCCAGAGATGGATACTTAGTACTCACGAAATCTGAAGACTCAAGACAAGAGCTGAGTAGGTTTCCAGGTATGGTGATATTTTTCTATTTGTATTATTTTCCCTTTGTTCTTAAGAGCTTATAGAGTGGGTTAAATTTTGCTTTCAGTCCCATTAGTCCTATTCTTAGTTCTAGTTGTCATCCCTGTGAAATGAATAACAGTGCTTCTGTTCATAATCTGTCACTTGCAGCAACCCATCCAAGGTAATCCTCCATAAGTAATGACTCAGATTTAAAAGGCATCGCACGTCTTTATTATCAGAACTCTTACATCTTGCGTGGGTAAAATCTCAGTTAAGGAAAGCCATCTGGTAACTTATTTATCTGTCTGTCATAGCTTAAYCCTTACCTTAGCAGTGTGAGTGAGTCCAGGACATGCAAAATGATAAGCTAAAAGAAGACAGCTCTGGATGCTAATAGAAAATATTTTGGGGCACTGGAGCTTTTAAGATTTCACATTTAGCATGTAAAATATGTCTTAATGAATACCACTATTATTTTTAATCATAATGTACCAATAAAAAAGGATTAAACGTTTAAATAAATGCCTATGCTGCCACTGCTTCCTCTCTATCATCAATTTCCATCTAATTGACTATCCAGGTCTCTTGTGGCTTTCAATTATTCAATTTCTCTTTGTATTTATTTTCTTCAGTTTTTCATTTATTTCTTTCTGTTTTATTTATTTTTTCTTTCKGATTTTAAAAATGAATTTAATTTTCTAAAAGTGTCTACCTTGGTCTCTGCTTAGGCTTTGTCTTTGTGTAGACTTTACATAGAATCATGTTTTCTCCCTCTGAATTATCTAATAAATCCTCTTTTGGTTTTTCTCTTTTCCTTATAAATTCATTAACAGGCAAGTGCACAATCATTTCTTTTCTTATTCTTATCTGCCTTTTGTTGCTGTCAGAATTTCAATTTGGAKGACCAATTACTTATAATCCTAGTTTCTAGTATATTCTCATTGTTCCCATCAGGGGAGCCTTCATAAAATTTTGATTAGAAGCATATTTTTTCCCTTAGTGATCAAGATAAATTATTTTGCTTTGGTTCATTCTTAGATATGTTTTGATTAGTTTATAGTTCATGATGGGGGTTTGGATACAAATAATAAGATGGTTTATACTGTTCTTACTTAAAATTGTTTTGAAGAAGTCTAGCCAATTATGCTATGTCCATGTATGAATATACTGCATGAATTCTGTTTATATATAATTAAATGCACAAATTAAAAAGTAATAATAGAAGGGAGCCAGTAGAGTACAGCAAGGGGATCAGGTGAAATGAGGAGGGGAGGGAAAGAGAAGGTACTAGGGAATGAGATTTTTCACATCATGTTGTGTGCATGTATGAATATGTCACAATCAACCCTACTATTATGTTTAATTATAATGAACTAATAAGAAAATAAATTTCTACAACCACCTTAGGGTTTTATTTTTTATATATTATATTAAATTTCTTATTCTATTCATTTATTCCACAAAATTGATATCTAGTTTTTTCATCTACATATTATCTCAAATTTCAACACATTGGTAAGCACTTTTGTAAATACTGCATAAATATTTGTTGAATTAATAAGTGAATAAGCCAAGAAATATTCCCAGCATTGTTTTTGAGTTGCTTTTCATTCATTCAGTACAAAGAATTATGATACATGAAACCCACACATAGTGTTTTATAAATATATGTGGGAAGATAAAACCAAGGCATAATTTATTAGACAAAATCACTGAAAAATTAAATAGTGTAATAGAAGCTATCAGTACAAGAATTCAGATAAAAGAAGTAAGAATCAACAAGAAGAGATTTTCTGAAGGTGAAAGTTAACTTAGTAGCAAGCAGAGTGTTTGGGGCTTCCTGAGAGTTGATGAATTACAGAATTTCTTCAAGTGTTTTTACCCTTTCTGGAGAAAGAAGATCTGTATGTAATACCAGAATTGCATTTTCTATGGTAAAGGCGAATTACACAAAATCAAGGATTTTTGTTAATGGTGTATCCTTAGCTTCTGGAATTGTGTCTGGCATTCTGGCTTTACTCCATTCTCCCTCCCCCCTCATTATGGATCAGAATCCACTTATCAGGGAGAACATTCGGCCTTTGGCTTTTTGGGATTAGCTTACTTCGCTTAGCATGATATTCTCCAACTTCATCCGTTTACCTGCAAATGCCATAATTTTATTCTCTTTTAAAGCCAAATAATATTCCATTGTGTATATATACCACAGTTTCTTTATCCATTCATGTATTGAAGGGCATCTAGGTTGCTTCCACAGTTTAGTTATTGTGATTTGAGCTGCTATAAACATTGATGTGGCTGCATCACTATATAGTATGCTGATTTCAAGTTCTTTGAATATAGACTTTTTATTTGCATACTATTAATATGAATCTTTATTTGCAGATTATTAATATGAACCTCACTAAATCAAGATATACTCTCTTAACTCCAGTGCCATTCTTCAGTCCCACTGATTTATTTCTTCATTCAACCGGTGTGAAGCACTTATGTGACTGTTAGTCACTGTTGGTGATTGTGGTGGTAGTGGGGGCTGCACATGTGGACCAGACAGATTCCCGTACCCAAGAAGCTATATTTTAACTGGAGAGATGGATGTTTATATAATCATGAGAGGCAAAGCAAAATAAATGCTAGTAGTGCAGAAAGCATATAGAGATTTAGGCAGATTGGGAAGATTTCACAAATGAGGGAGTTTTAGCTGGGAAAAAAGAACTTTGAAAATTGGATTCTGTGAGATAGAGAATAGAATGAGAGAAAATCTGAAAGCTGAAAAAAGAAGAGAAACATTTGAAGTTCATGTGAGCAATATATAACAGTAGAACAGAGACTTTGAAAACTCTATGCTGTGTATGAGTAATTGTGACATGGTTCACATGACTGGTTGAAATCTGTCCATTCATAAGAAGTCAAAGTCTAAAGTATTTGAAGATGACCTTAGATGTCATCCAGGTAGAAGAACAGACTGGGCAGGAGGAAATAGAAAGTATTCATGTAATGCAAAACAAAAGCAGAAGGGAAATAGGTCTAGAGATGGAACTAACTTAGTAGTAGCAGTTTTGAAAATCATAATGCTATTTAGGAGCTAGCTATCCCTCTAAGTAGAGACCAGTGTAAATGTGATGAAGTTATTTTGCTGTGTGAGTTGTTAACAGGAGAATTATTTCCATGGTTAGAGGCTTGCTTTCTTAAGTACTAATACTTGTGCATTTCTTTCTTCCCTTAGGGCACATGAAAACTGATGCTGTTCTCTGAGGCAATGGATGGAATGAATCACTCTGTAGTATCAGAGTTTGTGTTCCTGGGACTCACTAATTCATGGGATATTCAGTTTCTCCTTCTTGTCTTCTCCTTGTTGTTCTACTTTTCAAGCATAATGGGAAACCTTGTCATTGTGTTCACTGTAACCTTGGATGCTCACCTGCACTCCCCCATGTATTTCCTCCTGGCTAACCTCTCAGTCATTGATATGGTGTTTTGCTCAATCACAGCTCCTAAGATGATTTGTGATATTTTCAAGAAGCACAAAACCATCTCATTTTTGGGATGTATTACCCAGATCTTCTTTAGTCATGCTGTTGGGGCCACTGAGATGGTGCTGCTCATAGCTATGGCCTTCGATAGATACGTGGCCATATGCAAGCCTCTGCACTACCTGACCATCATGAGTCCAAAAATGTGTGTATACTTTTTAGTCACTTCCTGGATCATTGGAGTTATCCACTCATCAGTCCAATTAGTTTTTGTGGTAGATTTACCTTTCTGTGGCCCTAATATATTTGACAGCTTTTACTGTGACCTTCCCCGGCTCCTCAGACTTGCTTGCACAAACACTCAAGAACTTGAGTTCATGGTCACTGTTAACAGCGGACTCATTTCTGTGGGCTCCTTTGTTGTGCTAGTCATTTCCTATATCTTCATTCTGTTCACTGTTTGGAAACACTCTTCTGGTGGTCTATCCAAGGCCCTCTCTACTCTGTCAGCTCATGTCACTGTGGTTGTCTTGTTCTTTGGACCACTCATGTTTTTCTACACATGGCCTTCTCCCACATCACACCTGGATAAATATCTTGCTATTTTTGATGCATTTATTACTCCTTTTCTAAATCCAGTTATCTATACATTCAGGAACAAAGACATGAAAGTGGCAATGAGGAAACTATGGAGCCGTCTTATGCATTATAGAAAGATTTCATAAATGGATTGCCTATGRAGGTGTGGAACTATAGATTCTCTCTCATGGTAGTTGCAGAAAAGACACTATGCAATTTCAGAGAAACATTGAAGATTTATGCCATGTTATATGCACAGAAATTTACTAACTACTAAGTATCTGTTTTACCATTGAATTAGAAGTGATGTTATTATTTGACACTCTGTACATTAAAGTGTTAAAAATAAAATCACATGTCTTTTGTAATCTACCATGTTAAAAGTCTATATTCTAGGAAGGTGTCATGTAATTGAGCAGATAATAAATTATATTTTATCTTTTTCCTATATTGGATAAATTAGTCTATTGATAGACAAACTATGTTCTATGATCTTTAATCTGCTTATTACCTATTTTGATTTCAATTCTTTTATTCCTAATGTTTTTTTTTTTTTTTTT